TTGATTCTAAAATTCACCGGATCTTATATACTCTTAAATAATTCAATTTGTTCAGATCAGATTCATGGAGGGCGCGCCAAAATTTTGGATTTCTCTCCTCTTCTCGCGCCAACGCCATGATTTAATAATCCCTGCCGTACGATGGACAAAGAAGACGACGTGGCAGAATCTGGCTCGTACAATCTGGCAACGGAGAAAAAAACAAAAATCCCTCTGTTTTAACACCGGATTACTTATAATAATATAATAAAACAGGAATATTCGTTATCGAGTTAATTTAATTCTCAAATTGAATTAATTAAAATTTCAAGTTTTGATTCGATTGTTTGGATCAATAGAAACTTTTTAGAATTCCACGTCATTTTTCATTATTTTGAAAATTAATTAACCAAAATAAATTATTAATTTTTTGCAATTTGTAAATATCAATAACTAATAGATTAGCATACAATTAATCTAAGTTAATAATATAGTACGTAAAATCAACTAGTTAATTATTTTTCAAAATATTGGTTAATTTTTATTATTTATTAAACTATTGCCATCTAGAATTCTTGTAAAAATATTTAAAAATGAAAAACGTATCAAATTAATTTTTAGGTTCAAATTATATTTACTTGGTTACAAAAATTAAAAGCCTTGTGATCAAATACCAGATTGAATCTAGAGGAAGTAGCTGTGTTGCAGACACTACTGAGAGAAAAGAGACCAAATATACACAAAAACTAAATGTTCATCTTGTAATAAACATGACAGCAGCTCCAAACCAAACCCAATTCAATCAATCAATTATGTTTTTGCTTGGGTGCAGATTGTCTCCAGATTCCTCCCAAGACACTCCCAAAAATAGAGTGACAAACACTCGAAACTGCACATGGTGCTGCAGTTAAGGGATTCCCGAAGTGCTGGGTAGCAAGAACGACTCCGAGAATCGAGTTCTGGAAAACAAATAATTTTGTTATAGCAATAAAATTCATCCCATTGAAAAAGAACGTAAAATAGAGAAGCTCCATTATGGAAGAGCTCATCTAGTTCGCCCACCAATGGTTCGCCTTCACAACATACCAACGAATAACATACGAGTAATGCCACAGAGCCCTGGGTCCTCCTAGACTACATTGATGTGGAATGCTGTGAAGTCGAACCAAAAGAGAAGCTACTAACAGATCAGCTTTTCAAATTCATTATTTACCTGCATGCCAACCTCAATAGAGATTGTTCGTGATGATGCTTCGTCAAGCCCAAGCGTCCTTGCAAGTATATACCCGAAGAAAAATCCAGATGCATGAAGAAAAGAAGCAGCTAGCACTACTTGCCGACCAGACATGAGTATTGCAGATGCACTCTGGGCAATTGCATTTCCACATAAAATAGCCACAGTTCCAACAGCAATAGGGGCCATTAAGGGAGAAACAAATTTAACCATTCTTTCGAAATATTGATTTAGAAGTGCTCCAGCCAATACAGGAAGAAGCACAACCTGCAGCCGTGGCATGGGGTGGTACATGAGGGAACCAGAATTCAAGATCAACAAAATTTAAGAAAACCATGCCAGATGAAAGCTTACCTGCAGTGTTGACATTAGTAGTCCAGCTGCATCGACTGCAACATATTGCCCAGCAAGTTTTGCTGTGAGGAATGGAGTCATGATCTAAAACATGGAACAAAGGAAAAGAAGATTTATTTCATAAAATGGTGGTGTACTCTATAGGAGATTATCATGTATGTAGTATTTAAAATCCTCTTGGAATCAATAATTCTATAATTCCTAGCTAATCAATGGCATGCAAGAATATTCAGATTGCCCAGTGCAAACACCAGCTTAAAGGGGTAGATAAAAACAAGTAAGCAATGTCGGTACCAACCACAGCTGAAAGAGTGCTTGCTGCTGTCATCAATACCGAAAGCGCCACATTTCCACTGGAAGATACAAAGACTGTTAGATCCTCAAATTGTGCAGACAAAACTACCAGAGAAACATGAACAATTTGATGATACTGTTTATATAAACATACCGTGCAATGTAAGTTACAATATTACTTGCAGTACCTGAAAAATTAAATTAATAAAACATTATGAAAGCAAACATGGACGGGTAATTAAAGCACAAGTACACAGAATAGAGGACCTACTAACCACCAGGGCAGCAACCAACTAGTATTAGACCAGCTGCATAGTAAGATGGCAGATTTAAAAGCTTGCTTACCAAAAACCCTGATATTGGCATCACCTGGAACCAACCAAAAAATTTTCCTAAATAACACTTCAGTACAGAGCACATAAAAACAGATTTTTCCAACCTAGTAAGCTTTTTGCTCCAGAAAATATAGTAGGATTTCAAGATATAAACAAAGCAAAGAATGGCTTCAGAATATTATTAATGCAACTGGCACTAGAGGAAACTATGTAAGCAGAGCAGTGAATCTTCTAGTACTTTTGACAAACCAATCAGATTTAGAGACCAGTGTGTCTAGAAATATAAAATATTCAATTGATTGTTAACATTGGTAAATTAAATATTCCACAAGTTACTACTTTCTTTTGTTCTCAAGGTATAAACAGAGAAATGCAGCGGATATAAATGTAGAAGCTCTGAAAAGAGGTAAGAGAAAATTGTTGAGTCTCCTACTCCATGAATCTAAGCTCAGTGAAAGAATGGGCGTGTGTGAAAGCAACTTTGTCAAAAGATGAGTTCCAAATACTTAAACTTGAAGGAGAGGAGTGGGAATGGAAGATGTAAGATGCTTGAAAATTGACTTCTCCAAGTTTAAGTCGCACATCCAATTTATACTAATTTGATTGGTTGCAAAGATTCTACCCATTAGTCTTAACAGTTGGCAATGTTAATATTATATCATTCAAGTCCACTTTCATAACATCATATGTACAAAGCATTTTGCATCATCAATATCCATGACATGATATGTTTACCGATATAAAGAATAATACTTTGTTCCATGCATAAGATATTAATTATAAAAAACGCTCTAGTTATATTAAAGCTTCTGATCAGCTTTGTTAAAAATGTAGTATCAATGACCTTCATGTACACGATAATAAGTTAAATGGATTGGAAAATTAATACAGAAAATCATGAGAATTTCAACTGATAGAAAAAATTAAAAAGGCTGTCGTGTCTAACCATGAAAAAGTTTCAAAAAGATATATCTTACAAGATATGAAAAATATAGCTAAAGGAAAACTATATCTAATTATTGTGGCAAGCAGGAAAAAAAGAGTTCTAGGGCAATAAGGAAACCGAAGCTACAAAGTGAAGCAGTAGATATGAGCATTTCAATATTATTGAGTGAAACAGAATTATCAACCTGAAAACCTCAGAATGGACGCCATAACAAATGCAATTAAATGAAGTCCCTCGTTCACCCAGTTAAAATGCTAGGCAATCGGGTAATTATTCATCCACATGAATGAAGGATTTGATTCCCAATCCTAAAATGAATAATTAAAAGTACCAGCAGCAGGATTAAGTATGAACTTTTCATAGAATGAAGAATAATTTAACACCCATTAACGTATAATCACGCAGATGGTTTCGCAGTAAAAGCATATAAATATACAGAAGAAGAAAACATACAGAGTACTGGAGCACAAATCCAGCAATCAACTGCTTGGGCATAGCAAAAGCCCCACGAAGATCGTCGAGAGTGAGAGTCATGCCCATACCAAGCATGGTAATGGTAAGGCCGACAATGGTCCATCGAGGAGTGACCCAACTGAATGAATGGGGCTTGACTAATCCGAGGAGACATCCCAAAGTCACCCACAAGGGAAATGCAGTAGATATCAACTCGCTAATCCACTCGATCCAATCGCGGAAGCTCCTGGCATTGTCAGTATCGAAACTGTTCGACGAAATGCCAGACTGAAGAGGAGCAAGAAGGTGAGACCTCCTGCTATTTGATGTTATGTTGGGGACGTAGGATCGTCTCTCTTTAGATCGGAGTTGATAATTGAGAGTGAATGGATGAGATGAGGAGAAGGATAAGGATTTGAGAGCGGGAAGAAAGAGTTGAGAGTTGATTGTTGAAGCATCCGGTTTCAGTAGTGGTTTTGTGGAATCATGGAATTTGAAAGTTATTATGGTTCCATAGGAGTGGAGAAGTGAAGACACCATTTTGCAGTACCTTGCTCAAAAGAGGTGTAGCTTAAACTGGAATGGCTTAAAATCAACGAAGCTGTCTGTTAAGCGTATAAATACTGTATTAATTTCTTTTTCATTAACAAATTAAATATTAATATCTTTTTATGAAATAAAATTAAATATTAATTTCAATTTTAAAAATATAAAAATATGAAATATTAAAACTACACCAACACCCTTTCTTAGGGTCAGAAAGCTGATACTCTAGAAATTATAAATCATATAATTTATTAAATATTTTACTATCAAAAGTATATTTTTGAAATTTTTATAATTTTCTGTTATTGTTAGAATGAATACATTTTATTTATAAGACTATTCTAATAATTTCAAATTTTAAACAAACTCCAAAAAAATAATAATTTTTTTAACATTTTGTAAAATATATCCAAAACAACCACTTCACCACTTTCAAATAGATTTTACAAACATATATTTATTTCAAAACATAAGCTCAGAGTTTCCTCTGACATGGAGTGATGATTTAGGAAAAGCAAATATAGAGATATCAGAAAAGCTGTATAGGCATGCAGTTTAGAGGATGTTCGATGGAAGTTGAAAATGTTGCCTGAACTCTTTTAAGAGAAGAACTGTAGTCAATGAAGAAATAAACAACAAACTTTTACAAATTCATCATGATGATAATACCCGGTATATCTTTCTTTTCCACGTTTTGCTGAATGGAAGATGTAAACTTCTAATCACTCTCCAAACAGAGCTAACCTTAAACCCATGCCGCGGACAAGGGCTAACTCTCAAATATGTATATACATATAACACTTTATAAATGTAACATAGATCTCCAGTCCCTCCCCTTCTCCCGTTGATTTTCCTCTTGTAACAGATGAGATATAATAATGTTATCATATTCTAATCATATCATACCACTTCCTTTTTTGTTGAGATCCTTTCTTCCTCCTCACCCTTTCATCTCCAGGTCCTCCTAGCTTCCCCCGGAACCACAGATTAGAAAATGGAAATATCTGCCAATGCCAAGTTATTCTTTGTTCAAATGTCAAATCACAAGAAAAATTATCCACATTTTACCATGCATGTTTCTTATTGGGTCTGGTGTGAACCTGAACATATTGATACGAAGAATAACACAAAAATCATGAAACTCATAAATAATTTACCTTCCCCTCCTAGTGCAAACAAAATTTGCCAGGATACGTGAGATTCCTTTTCTGGATGCTGCATGACAAAAATTGGAACATTAATATGGTTGCTCTCAACAACAATGTTTTGTCAAATGAGCCTTACTAACACTTTGAAACCCTCACCAAACTGATGTATTCAATAAGGAAGAATACTCCTCAAGACCTGGAGGTTCCCTACAAAAGAGCATGATTGAGACAATTTAGGCTAGCTTCCGCCACTTTGAAGAAAGTATCACCTTAGAACAAAATCCACCTTGCTGATAAAATCAAACAAAGAAGAAGTAAAAGAAAAGGACAGAACCTTTTAAGAAATCATGTGAATCTAGGAACCTTTTAAAAAAAATTAACTACTGACTGTTCTAAGATCATCTCTCGTAAAGAACTCCTCAAACTGATTTTGAAATTACCTGCATCAAGCAACTGCCCATGACCAACTATCCAGTTAGACCTTCACCAAGAAGACAAACCTTCATTCTGAAATCACAAACTTGTCTAGTGTTAAATTTCAATTCTTATGACCTTGAGATACTAGTTTCCTCATCTCTTTGTCATCGATCTAAGACCTAAAATTCAAACACTTAAAATCAATAAATTCGTGCTCCCAAAATCATACATAAAATAGTAACAAGAGTAGCAAAACTACAAATACCTCATGGACTTCATGAATGACCATAGAATGGGAAAAGCAGCATTTTTGAAAGGCACAAGGTTGTAAACCTACAAACAAGAACAAAACATAATACGTCAAACATACATGATAAAGAATTTACCACCAGTAAGATCACTCACCCACGATGCTATGTGAAAAAATAAGTGAAATATAATAGCAAACACAAATGGACAGCCATATGCGAAAGAGAGAAAAAACCATACCCAATCAAACAAGAAAGAACATAGATATAGCATGACATTTGATTAAGTTCACCTATCTAATTTCTTCTGAGTGATACTGAAATTTACACATCTTCACATTCTTTCTGGCAACTAATGGCCAATCACATTTTCCTCAAAGAAAGAATAGCAATCACATGATAATTATGCGAATAACATCATAACATACTTATGCCCGGGTAAACCAGTCCTCTTCAAGCCTGTGTAAAATGACAAAAAAATCTACACCATGTAATACCACGTAATCACCTATAAGCCTCTTTACTACTGGGTAAATCTAAATTTCTAAGAATTGCACGGAAAATACCTATTAAATATAATTAACAAGCAGACATCATAGTAGTTACTTCTGGATCAGGATAACACAAGGAAACACATTAGGAAAAGCAGGGGGGGAAGAAGGTAATAATTACACATATCGATGGAAAAATAAGTGATAGCATACACAGCTTTAGACTATAGGTACATGTAACTTTTTTGTATGAGTTACTTTTTAAAATAGGATTTGCCTGCAAAGGATGAACTCAGGATCTCCACCATGAGGCGGAGAGGTCTTGGCAATGGCTACTGGGTCAAGCTGGTTAACTGCATGTAAACTTAATTTGACAGGCCACATCTACAGATGACATGTGCAATATGGCTGGATATATTTTCAGTTTAGTTTCAAGGAACATCCATATCCCATTCTTTACGATCATACATCTTCTTCAAGCATCCCTAGCTTTTTGCTTATGCCTAGAATTTCTAAAACTGACAATAAATTACTTTCCAAAAGCCACAATATCAAGTTTTCATTAGATATCTCCATCTCGATTGCTTCCCCAGTTATTCTCCAAGCAGATCCTTCCAGTCGATTGATAGAATGCCCACAAACATTTGATGACAGAGGAAAAAATTCTCAAATTGCATATGCAGGAAAAGATATTAAAATCAACTGAAGTGTTGCTAGCTGCATCGAAGTTCACTCAGAGAACATGAGGAAGAACAACTACATGGCTTAAGACAAAATCAAATAGCCACAAACGAGTATAATTAATGTAAGTCATACACGATATTTTGTGATATCCATATTCTTAACAAAACCAATAAACAACAATCAAGACTTGAAAAATGCAAAAGTCTTGAAGATATCAAGTAATAAAAACACAGTCAAGTCTAAAAAAGAATCCTAGCTACCGATAAATGCCCCCCAAAAAAGGCAGGAAAAAATTGGCAGTGGCAACTAGGGAAAACACGAAAAGATAAGGAAATACAATACATACTTACTTGACTAGAACATTCATACCACTGCTTCATTGTTGAACATGTCTTGCCAAAGACCAGCTACCTCATGCGATAAATAGGCTTCTCATTCTTCAGTGCTGTTTTTTAAATGACGGGAGAATACATGGATGGAACCTTTTTAAGGTATGAAGTTTCTCCTGAACCCCACTTCAATAAGAAAAAGCCCCAAGGAGAAGAAGCTCAATCAATGATGATTACTCTTAGTGCCTCATCATCACGCACTACTTGCCAGAACTCCCACTACCCAAGTTGCAAGAGGAAAGACGGATGCAGTACTATTTTTTATACTAACTGACTGGAACAAAACCGGTAAGGGCCCAAGTAGGTTTCCCTTTACTGATAAAGCATGCACGAGAGAGAGAGTCACAGGGATAGGTAGATAGATAAATAGAGAGATAGAGAGAGAAAAAGTGGAAGGAAACACAGCTGTGGCGCTCTTTTTTGGAGTTATTTAACTGGCACAGCAAGGAACTGAAGAGGTTTCCCCTTTATCTGACAAACCACACACACACACACACCCAACGACAGAGATAGAGGAGTCATATACTATATAGTAAATCTTACAACTGTGATATTTAACTAATTCTCCCACTAAGTGCAACTTGATTTAAGTGATCCTTTTCATACAATGAAAACTGATCTCTTAAAAACATTGAAATTCTACGCCCAACAAAATTGGATGGTTGTCAAAACCATGCAAAAGAAACAGTTTGTCATAAATCCAGTTTCAGGTCATGTTGGAGACTGATAATTTTGAGCATCTAAATCTAAGCACATCTTCAAAGAAGCAACATGATTCAACTAAATAACACCTTTTAACTTCATTAATTAACCTTCAAACCTCAGAAAAGCAAAAAAAAAAGTAGATAAGAGATTAATTACCAGTTTAGTGCCATAATTATGGGTTGTGTTGCAAATTAGCCACAAATTTGGCTCTGTTGTAATTCAAGAGAGGAAAATTTTGATCCTCTTCGTTACAATTAGGTCTTGACAATGCTAAAAATAACCAATTTGAAAACTTTTCTAATAGTTGGAGAACATATTATAACAGGAAGAAAAAAGAGATTTCACGACTAATTTGTAACAAGTTATAAAACTTGAATGGTAATTAAACGAAAATGACATTATCAGGCCTTATTGAGGCTCACTTAGAATGGGAAACTACCACAGATTTGCAAATCCTTTGTCGACAAAGGAAACATCTAAAGCAAGTCCTATAATGAGAATCTGAGTTTCAACAAGTGGTAAAAGGATCTTCAATATAATTATAGCATTAGGTGAAGGTTCCAAAGGCACAAAATCAGAAGGAAAGAAAAACTACTATTGACTATGTAAAACAATTATGTGGCATTTTATTCTGATGGAAGCCTACATAATTTCAAATATTAGGTCCCTAATTTTCATCAATAATCTAAAATTTTCCGAAATTTCAAACCTAAGTGTTTAAAAGTTATACTAAAAATGTTAGAACCAACCTTAATAGCATAATCAGAGTCAAGTTCCATAACTTTCGGATGTAAAACATAAAAATTGTTTACTGCATTTAGCATCAGTATGTCATGCAATCTCGTGATCTATAAGCTATTTAGCAGTCCGATCCACATCAGTTAAGATCAATAAAATACTGAAGGAAAAGCTCAAGTCCAGCTTACAAAATCTTTCCTGTGGTTGTAGCAAGTAAATACGACTTTAGCTCAGTTCTCTTAATTTTTAGGATGTTAAGCTCTTATGCAACTTAGAGTTCCTACCCTAATCATAAGTGAAGCTTGAAAGCCTCACCTTTTTTCCCCCAAGTATGGTTGAGCTTGAAACCAAGCAATCTTGACATGGCATTAAGCTAGTCAAGAAATACAAGAATCTTGACTTGTCATAAACAGCCACAGGTTCTACATGGGGGCAAGCATAAGACGAAAATATAAAATATTGATAATATATGGATTACTAAGGGTCCGGAGCCCAACAAAACCAAGTGTAATCCAAAATTGAAACTATAGAAGCTGAAAGAAACAAGTCTCCTATCAGTCCAACTGAAAAACAGAAAACAAATAAGTAGTCTTCACTGCACAACTTAAAAAACCTCCCTTGCCTTCCCAGAACCCTTCTATAAGTTCGATGCTTAAGAAAACACTTGAGATAAACCATTTATCAGCCATATCTGGAGGGAGCTCAAACATTCTTAAGAGTAAACAATAATAATGAAGAAAATTTTAGTACAAAAAGAAAAGAAGCCTTCCTCAGCAGTTTGATAGCAACCAAAATCTCCATATAATATCTTCAACTCTAAGAAAGTGTTACTAGGAGCAACTCCATCAAGATTTGACCAAGCCTTGAAAACTTATTGGTGCGAGGGGCAAAAGCGAGAGATTAAGCACACTGGCATTGGACACAATAGTTTTAAACGCAAGAAACATAGTGAAGAATCGGTCTTGGTAAATGACAAGATGAAGGGATAGGCTCATTTTGAACTGCAAAACTTAAAAGTGACCAAGGATTATGATCACCAACAGATAACCTGCCCCAGAAGAAGAAGAGTTAAATAGAACCACCATAACATACGCCTTTGAAATATGACATCAGGGTAGTGGCCAATCTCACAAGAAAAATCTCAAATGAAAACACAAATTTACAGAAGCATACCCGGCACTAGTCATACAGCCAAATGCAGAACATCATTCACAGACGTAACTAGAAAACTTCTATTGAATTGCAGTTTCTAAACTGTAGGCTTCACTCGATTATGCAAATGTTTGCAGTAACAAGATATGGAACTAATAATAGCATACTTCATCATCAAGTTAACATGAACCGTCAAATATTTTATAATACAACTTTCATACTCAGATCATCAAGAAAATCTCTCAAAATTCTGACTTAAGATAATAGTTCAAACCCAGACCTATAGATCTAAGAAGCTGCAGCCCTAGCTACCAGGTAAAATATCTTAGAACAATCTGAGGGCATCTATCGGTGTCCTTGTGCTCGCTGCATTTCATAGCCATTCCAAGAACCAGGCACAGGTCCATACTGAGGATAACCTTCTGCACCCACCTGACCCTGAAATTTAAATTAAAAGACTAACCAATGCTTGCTAAAACACAGTAGAAGATAAGTAACCTGCCAATATAGATTCTAAAACCTAAAGCAGATGTTAAGAAGAAAACTTACAGGATTCATAGCATAGCTAGCAGGGTAAGGATTTCCAGGATATCCAGCTTCTGGATTTCCATAATTAGCACTATAACCAGCACCTGATAAGGTAATTAATACATTAATGACATTTTTCCTACAAGGATCCTTCAAGCTCTATTTTGGAAAGAAACAACAGTAAAAGACCGATCAAACTTTTTCTCCTGGTGTGCCTGATGCTAGCATGACATTATCATCAGCTTGCCTACTCATCAGAAATAATACCTAGATTCTAAACTCGACTGGGACACCATGACTACTTCAAAAGTTAAACAAGCAAGCAGCACACTAATTGAGTGAAAAATTCAGTCAAAAAATAAAATGTGCAATTGCATTTCTTCTAAAGTTTACATCACATATTGTATTGGTGAGAAAAAGAAATATTAAGAAATATTATGAGAAAAAATAAAAAAGGGAAAATTGAAGCAGAATAAGTTATGCTGATATTGCCTAAATAGATTAGAAATTATGATTCTCTTAAATATAAAATACTATGAGAGTTACAAATACTTTTGTAATCTCATATTGGAGACAGACTTCAGTTATGCAACAAATACTTTGAGGGTTTCCTCAGTTTTTTAGTTTCGTGATCTAATCAATACCCTAATTTGTCCTACATAAAATACATTATCAGAGTACTAATCATCATCCCCAAATTATAAACAAAAAGATTAAAGATAGAAAAAGAACCATCCATTAATAAAAAATAGCCGACTAATATCTATAAATGAAAAACAAAAATTAATATTTAAAAATGCCCATGATCCTTAGCCAAAGAGATGCCAAGAATGACAACCTATCTCAAAGATGCAGAAACAAAGAGAAGTGATCCCTAAAGTTCCTGGTATTCCTCTCCAATCATAACACCAACAACTAAGCAGAAAGAGCCTTGCAATTTGAGATAGTGCTGATTTGCCTGGGTTCAAAATTTTGACTTTTGGCATGCACAAACTGGCTGTTCGGTTGAGAAAAAGAATTAGGAACTCAGGATTTACAGTAAAGAGAAGACTTTTGCTGCCTCTTAGTCTCAAACTAAAGCTGGAGAGTAAAAAGAAGAGACTTCAATTACCAGCATAAAAATTTAGAAAAATTCCTGTTGGTTCTCATTCTGGACCTGGAACTTACTTGACTACTGCTCAAATTCCAACAAAACAGAGAGAAGAGGACAAGATGATTCGTTTGGGGAAAAATGAGAACTTATTAATTTGTGACGATGAGAAAATGTGCAGATATTAATGTGAGAAGGGCAGAGGGAGTCCATCTTCCAACAAGAGACAAATGTCCACTTATAAAGTTTAAACACAACTTTTTAGTTTCAAATGGATGTTTGGAGTCAGGATTATTTAAATGGAAGTTCTGTTCGGGGAAGGGAAAGAAAAACTCAGGAGGTGGGATTTTAGACTAGAGAGAGGAAGACCCTTGCCACTTCTGGTTCTGAAATTAGACCTAGAGAGAGAAGAGAGTTAGATCATAGACACATAAATTTGAAAAAGCTTTGCTGCCATTCAAGCTTGCTTCAACACACCTTCCCGCTTCCTCCACCACTTCATTTGCAATAAAAGAAACATAAAAAATCTACCTTCCCCCAACAAAAGCACTCTGGTTCACAGAAATAATCTCCTCAAACACCTAACACAATCTCAATGAGAGCATCTTAGTAATGATTTTAAAAATGCCAGTGACATGGGCTAATAGGCCGATAACTGGAAACCTTGATGAAGCAATCTTTTTTTAAGGATCAAAATAATAAAAGGAGAGTTCATACGACCAACCTTTCCATTAAGGTGAAGCTCGTCAAACACTTTAACCAGATCTCCCTAAATAACATCCCAACCATTTTGGAAGAAGGTCATAATAATCCATCCCGTCCAAGATTTCAGCCTCTTGATTTCAGCCTAATCAAATGGTCTCTCAAGCCAACTAGGTCTCTCCTCGTCAATCAAACACCAATCAAGACCCTCAATAAAAGAGTGGTTAATGATCTCATCCTCACACAACTGCTTGTAAAAGTCTGTGATCACAACAAATCACCTCATATATCTCTCTCAAATCTTCCATCCTTAGTCTCTTACTCCTTAATACAACTCTTCCTCTTACTACCATTAAACACCATATGTAAGAGACCAGTAATGAACCCCCCTCCTTAACCCATTTTCAAAATATTCAACCTCAACTTATGCCTCCAACTGATTTCCTATTCCTTAAGCGAGGATAGTCTCACTAGTTGATCATCATTATGAACATTATCAAGAACGGAAACCTCACCAAGAATATTATTTCTACTTCTAATATCACTGAAAACCTCATTATCCAACGTTTTTGTAATTGACCAGAAAAGTATAGAAGTATTTTCTGATGATTTCATTCCAATAGGAATTAGCACCAATTAGCCTATTAATTTTCTGCCTATGATTACGCTAATATAAAAGGAAAGTCAACTACCTATAATTATGCTATTATACAAGGAAAGTATGTTGTAATCTTGTAACAGTTTTCAATTTATTCTTGAGAAATCAAAGCTTCTTCTCAAACTTAAAGCCCTTGCAGGTAACAGAAGTATTTGTCACCCATGAAGTCCTAATGTTCTCACTGAAATTTGCATGAGTCAGCCACATATTCTCAAAACTAATGGAGTAAGATTGCACCCCAAGTGATCTGGACTCCACGAGAATAGAAAAGTGACCAGATAATAGGAGTGGGAGGACCTCTTCCAACAAATTAGGAAAGTTATCCACCCAATAATTGAGAAACAATCAAAGAGAAGTAATTCCTACCTTTGTTAACTGACAAAGTAACTAATATTAGAGAGAGGAAGGTCTCTAGGCTTAAAATCCTGGATAAAGTTATTAAACCACATCGTACTAGAAGTAACCTTGTTTCCCCCAACTTCTCATATGGGTCTCTTCGACAACTGAAGTCACCCTAAACACACCAGAATATAGGATTGAGATAACAGATCCCATAAACGATGATAACGAGGTTACCCAGTGTATTTTAAATCTTTCCTCAAATTTGTTTAATGGTGATAAAATACCCACTCATTGTATCTGAAGGATCATTTCCTTCATAGTCACAGAAGAAAACCATCATGAAATGCATATGCCTGATAATTTGGGGGAAAAAATCTAATGGGAGTTACTAGACAAAGTCAAGACCTTTTCAAATTTCAGATTAAGAAAAATAAGCTAATATAGTTTCACTGAAAAGGTCTAAGCTTCCCAAGTATGATTTCTAAATAGTGCTGCATTATATTTGCCACCTGCTCTTCATCCTTCCTTTATCAATCCTGGCTGCTAACATCATCAACTACATTTTTCATCAAAATCTAATTGAAGTAACTAAATATATTTTAGATATAAAAAATGTGCTAATACAGTTTCACCAAAGGTCTATGCTATCTTAGTATGATTTCCAGATAATGTATTTGTCAGCCTCTCTCCATTCTTTCTTATACAATTCTGGTTGCGGACATCATTAGATACATTTTTCGTCAAACTAAGTCACTCAAATTTAAACCAATCAGCAATTTATTTGATGTTAAATGAACAGCATACCAGGATTTCCAACCGCAGCAGCAGCACGGGCCCTCTTCTCAGCATTAGCGATCTCTGCCCGGAGTTTCTCCAACTCCCTAGCCATTGAGATCAATTTTTTCTCCATTACCTGACCATGCTCATAATTCTCAGCGTATCCTTTCTCTCATACTCAATGGCAGCTCTGCATGTCAAGAAAAAAGCAAATATGATCACCATAAGTCATGGTGATATGTACCTGGTTTTTTCACATATACTCAACAGAATCATGCTAATATGTACATGGCACGCTGTAATTCTGCTTCATATTCTCAATTTCTGCCTTCAGAGCTGGTCCTTGCTGTAAATCTGCTGTAAGTCGAGCCAAATCTTGGTTCATCAATTGAACCTGCCCTGTAAGTTCCTGCCTAACAGCAGTAGGCTCCTTAATATCATTATGAACCTTAGGAAGCTCAGTTCGCATAGCCTCTACTCCACGAAGGTCCACTTCCAAACGAACAGACTTCTCAAATATTTCACTCATCTGAGCATCCTTCTCCATCCGCATTGATTCTGCAAAGTGTGCCATTCGCTGTAGTTCATGCTGGGCAGCTTCCAATTCCTGTTTTAATGCAACATGAGTAGCAGCTAGTCTCTGGTTATCAGCAAGAAGGCCTTGAAGTTCTTGATGTTGAGCTGCAAGACGCTCCTCTATAACAGCAGGGTGAAGGGGGAGGCCTCTGTGACCCATTCCATACTGGTTTTCTCTCATCTCCTCAAGTAAGCCAGGATGAGGTGCCATTGGTCC